AATAAGAATATTTATTATTTTACTCTTAATAATTTAATTAAATAATAATTTATTGGCAGAATTAATAATGATAAGAAAGAAATCATTCTATAAAACATTTTAGTAAAATAAAAGTGAATTAACAGATCAATAGATTGAAAGCAAAAAACGAATTTGCAATAAATCAATAGTAAATGAATAAAGTCTTATTGATTTTGGTTGTATTAAGTATAACACAATCAGTTTTTGTTAAAAGATCAAATGATCCTACAAAGGCTGTTTTTACTTAACTTGAAGCTATGGAAGAGCATGAATTAGGCAAAAAACTATTAGACACAATAGCCCTTTAATTAAACAATAAAGCCCCATTGTCAGATATTGCAAAGATGCTTTAATAATTAAGGGAAAATCTAATTCTTAATTAATAAGAAGCCGATTAAAAGCATGCTTAAGATGAAGTTGATTGTGAAACAGAAATTTACTAATACAATAGAAGAATAGATTATGCTTCTGCTGAAATAACAGATTCTACAACAGAAATAGCAACATTAACTTCAAAAGTCGAATAATTGGCTTAAGATGTTGATAACAAAAAAATATAACTTGATATTTTAAATGAATAAGAAACATAATTAACTGAATAAAGAGCTAATGACGCTGACGATTTTATAAAATTTGAACATGAAACTGAAAATGTGATAGAAGCTATTGAAGTTATATTTACCAAATTATCCTCAATTTAACCTGATTAAGAAGTAGTTTAAATTTTAACATAATTAAATTAAATTGGTGCATCAAATCCAATTTTAGCATTAATGTAAGTTGCATCAACATTCTCAAAAGATCAATTAAACAATGTTTTAAATAAATTGAGTGAAGTGAGTGCATCTTTGGAATAAAGTCTACATGATGCCAGATAATCTGAAATATAAGCTTAATTAGATTATGAAAGATTAATGGTTGAAATAGAAAGTTAAAGAGAATCATTGTCATCAGCTAGAGAAGATTCTGAAAGACAATTAAAAGATAATGAATAAGCATTAGATCTCTAAAAAAAGAGAAAAGAAGATGCTACTGATGAATTAAATGCTGCCACTTCAGGTAAAGAATAAAAAGAAGGTGAATGTGATGGATGGAGAACTTAATACGCTGCTGATACTGAACATAGATAATAAGAAATTTCAATAATTAGATAAATTGAAGAAATATTGGCAACTAAACTCAAAAACGTCAAAGTGTACTTATTAGAAAGATCTTCTTCATGATAATATTTTTATTCCAATTACAATATTTTTATTATCTCTTCACAATAGAAGCAAATTCTTTTTTCTTTATTAATATTTAGGATTAAATAATAAAGTCTAATTTAATTATATGTTTTCACAGTGTTTCTTAATTATTAGTAAATGGAATAATTTAATTATAGTTTTTATAATGTTATAGATATACTATTAATTAAATGGATTAATAAAATGATGTCGTAACTTAGGCATAATAATAAGAATTGAATGAATAACTGGATGAGACTTCAACTCAAAATTAGCCAACAGAATAACCTATTGCTGAAAACCCCCCGATAACTGAAACCATTCCAATGATCGATCCATTAATTGATTAAAATAAAGATCAACCTACAAATTAAGATAATAAAACAGAACAATCAAATGATCCTCCTGCTTCAAATCCAATTTACACTTATTCAATTTTGGCAAAAGAGTTTATATTATTCAGCCTTCCCTATTTATATTTTATATTTGCTGCTCTTTATAGGATTTATTAGCTTTAATAACTACAAGCAGTTACACTACAAAGATAATCCATACGATCTCAATTAAGTGATGAGGATATGTAATTATTAAATTAATTTAAATTAGTCCCAAAACAAATCCTCCATCTTTGAATATAAAAATTATCATATCATATTGGCTATGTTTGGTATGTACTGTATCAATGATATTGGGATTTTTTGGTCTAATTATGACAATATCACCAAAATTATACTTCATTTGGTTGATACCGATTGTTGCTCATATTATTTCTGTTATTTTGCTAAAATTAGAGTTTAAGGTTTAAGAATAATAGGCAACTTGGACTCATAGAGTAATAGTTTATCAACTATCAAATAGATATTTTGGCCTTTATAGACTGCATTTTTGGTGGTCAGAACAACTTAAGAATATCAAACTCTTTTGAGTAGTGGATTAATAATTTTGTAATTGTTCCCATCATTGATTTTATTGATATATGCCTTGTATAGACCGAATGATCGAACAAGAATACCAGATGATACACCAAAGTTTGCAAAATAATTGATGAAATAATTAGAAGAATTCAAAATATTTTAATCAGAAAATAACTCAACTAGAGAATCTATGTTAAACAGGACTAAAGCAAAAAAAGAAAATACTACTATATCAAAATAATTATCATCAGCATTTTCTGATCTCATATAAAGCAAAAATCAAAATGAATAAGAACAATTCTTAAGGGAAAAATTGCCAGAAAGGAGTGTGAGTGTAAGTAAAAAAGTAATTAAACGTTTTGTTAATGACAATGAAATACTTTATTCATATATGATTATTACTATAATCGAAGGACATAGTTTTTAATCAGAAAAGCGTTACCCTGAATTTTTAAATATTGAGAGAGTATAAATTGACCACTTTAATAAATACAATGCAAGTTCATTTAAAATACACAGAATAGATCTATAATTGGGCGAAGATGAATTTTCTTATGTTTTAAGAAGGAGAGAATATTTAGAAAGATGGTTATAAGATTAATTAGCCAATCCAACCTATATCACAAAAAATTTACTTGATTTCTTAGGTGTAGAAGAAGATATGCAACAACCATTTTTAATATATTAATAATTGATTTCAAAGACTAAATCTTAGATAAGACCTAAAAGTTATTAAAAAGCTTAAGAATACGAATTATAAGCTATCAGAGTAAATTCTGAAGAAAATTTGGTTGCTTTAGATTATTCTGAACTTCAATTCTCTTCTAATTGTGTCTAATATGAGTATGGAATGTATGGATCTAATTCAATAGAATTTGTTATAAACATCAAATACAAAGAAAAGTAAACTTATATATAAATAATGTTAGAAGCACAGAACATGTTTATAGAATCTTGAAAACACTTTCTTGTATTAGATAATTTAGTGAGCAACTTGAATTATAAAGTGGTCGATCATTACCACCTAATTTGAAAGTAACAAAATAAATTTTAAATCTAACAACAAATGAAAAAATAAACTTTGTAGATGAATTTTTTAGAGAATTATTAGGAAATCATGAATACTTTTCAAGTGAATTTTTTGATTTTATAGGATTTGATATTAATAATAGATGTCCAAAAGATTAAAGTTGATCAATTTTTATAAAATTAAATTATTTATTATTATAATAATACATAACTAAATGAAAGATCTTTAAACTTATTATAATAATAACAATTTTCATGATTAAATTATATATAGATTGGATTTCATAGCCATCTAGAGCTGTAAAGGCTGTTTTAGATATCCTCAAAGTCCCTCATGAAGTCAAGGCTTTAAAGATTTAATTTGATGAACATAAGTCACCTGAATTCACAGCAATTCATCCATTATAATAATGTATTCAAATTAAAAAAATCTATAGTGCCTTTATTATAAGATGGAGATTTTACTGTTGCTGAAAGTCACAATATAATGAGATACATAATCAAATAGAGAAATATATCAACTAATTTGTAAGTTTCTAAAGATTAATAAGATACCCACTTACAGACATCAGATAATAAACTAGAATAGATCAATATCTAGACTATCATCACACAAATACAAGAAGATGCTTACACTTGTACCACTCAGTGCTGATATCACCAATAAAGGGAGAGAAGGTAATTCCTGAAGTACTGGAAAAGGAAAAACAAGATGTGGCAAAAGTGTTTTAATATTTTGAGAGCAGTAATTATATAAAACATTTGTAGATTGGCTAAAAGGTAGAAACTACATTTGTGGTGATTAAGCAACTTTGGCTGATATAAGTGCTTGTTGCGAAATGATGTAATTAGACTTGATTAAATTTGATTTCTAAAAATATCCAATTACAAATGCATGGCTTAATAGAGTGATAAGGATTCCAGAAGTTTATTAAGCTCATCATGTGGCTTTTAAAATTATCAAAAAATAAAATCCAAGTTCCTAATTCTTGAAATGAATTAAAATAATATATATATATATATAGAATTTAAAGTTGTTTTCATTATTTGCATAAATATATAATTAAAGCATGTTATTTTATATGTTATCAAAAGGTTGAGCAACAGCATTTTTCTTCATTTGAAAGTTTTTAGTCTTTTTAAATAGTACTTGTAACATTTTGCAAGGTTTAATTTTATGACTTTAAGGTTTTGACTTTAATGGCTTTTTTGATTGCTTAGTCAAAAATTTCTTTCAAACCAATTTATGTTAATGCAGAACATTCCAAATATTGACATTGTAATTTTTCAACTTTTGATTTTGCCTAATAGGTTGATTAAATTAAAGATTACAGCTTCTTATTAAACATGACTTGGATTTGCTTAATTTCTCATATCAATTTTATTTCCAACAAATATTTTTGGTACACATTTTAATTCAGGAGCCTCTAATTCTGGATACCATTTAATTATTGCATTTTCAAAACTAGATTCTTCAATAACAGAGAAGACAACTAAAAAGACATCAGCTGAATTATAGGATAATGTTCTTAGTCTATTATATGTTTCTTATCCTGCAGTATCCCATAAACTTAAATTAATCATCTTTCCATCAACAGCTGTTTATGTGGTATAATTTTCAAAAACTGTGGGAACATAATCTTAAGGAAATTTATCTGTTGTGTAGCTATGGATTTTTAATAGAAATACCTGAGAAGTATACATGTCTTGCCTACATTTCCATCACCGACAACGACAAGTTTAATTGTAATAGGATCTATTTCTGACATCACGCAAATATGTTTATTTAATTATTGGAATAGAAAGAATATTTTAATGTAATTTAATAATGAATTCATTTACTTTTATTGAATGAATAATATCAAAATGCTCCCTTGAGTTAAGATTTAACGTAATCGGTAAATCTTGGTTGGTTCAATAAATCTAAGGCTTAGTGGGCGGCATTTAATTCCTTGTTGTATTCAGCAACGGTAGCATTGTAAACGTCAGTTGCGAAAGCAAAGTCATCATTTTCTGCTTATAATTATCCATTCAAGGTATCCAAATCTGCATGTAAGACATCAATTAAATCAAGGGTTTATTCAATCTTGTCTATTAATTATTATTATTAAATATTTACTTGCATTGGCTTCAATTTCAGCTGTCTTAACTACAACAGCTCTTTAGAATTCAGCATGTTCTTAGTTTAATTGAATAACTCTTGCTTCAAAGTCTTTTTAGGCTTCAGCTTCATCAGCAGTGAGTTGGTTGAGGGAGTCAACTAATTAAACTCTCAAATTGTTGAAGGCAGTCAAAATCTATGAAAGAGTTAACAAAATATCAATACTTCTCTAAGAGCACCTTGATCAGCAAAGTTAGCTTCAACAGCAATTTCCAAAAGAGTCTTGATGAAGGTTTAGAATGTGCTATGTCTTTTGAGTGATTATTAAATTTTGGTCAAATTCTTTTAGACCTTTTAGATTTAGACAAGGGATGGTGATTCTAATTAACTGAGTAATTATAATGATTCATCAATAGCACTGATGGCTTCGTTATGTTCAGCAACTTTAGCTTCAAATTCAGCATGATCATTAGCTCTTTGAACTGTTGCCTCATTAAGTGTCTTTCTGTTTTAAGCAATGTTTTCTTATAATTATTCAAGTTGAGCAGCAAATCTATCTCTTTATGGGATCAAAACGTTATCATAAAAATCGTGGGCATTGAAGACCTCTAAAATAAATCTATAAATTTAATAATATACCTCTTTCTTTATCTTGGATTTCTTATGAAAGTCTATTGACTTCTCTGTTGTGAACGTCTGTTCTTCTTGCATATTGATGATGGACTTCTGCTAATTCCTCATCTAATTCGTCAATCTAAACGAATTAATGAAAAAAGTAATTACAAGTTTAGCAATTTCAGTGTTTAATTCTGCAAGGATACCTCCTGTAGTTAAATGGAGTTCACCAAAGTTCAAAATGAAATTACCCCAACCAGATTGTTTAATTTAAGCAAAAGCTTTTTGGTCATGGCTTGTCCAAACTGAGTTTGTGACATCAATTGCTGTTACGCTAAGGATAAGCAATGTGCAGACTGCTAATTTATACATATATTTTAATTAATAATGAAGCCAACACCAGATAATTAAGTGTTAAAAATTCCAAAAACGAATTTTATTTTTTTATATATTTATTAATAAAATATCATACTAGTAAACCATCTAATGATAATAATAATATTAATATAATTAAAAAAATATATATATAAAGTCAGAGAAAGTGTATCTTTTCGATTAAAAGACTTTAATTGTACTGGTTTAAGTACATAATGCTCTGTAGATTTTTATTGAGACCAACCTCCTTCGCTTATGTTTTTTTAATTTCAGAAAACTATACAATATAGAATCATACAGCAATACCTGTCCTATTAATTGAAGTCCATTATTATTAATGTAATTACCAAATCCCATGATCAGACCCTTCTGAAATTATCCTTGATAATAACTTCCATCACTCCAATAAAATATTCCATAACCTGAAAATTAGTTATTTTCAAATGATCCTTCATATCTACAAATAGATATAAGAAATATAAAACTTGCATCCATCAGGGAACACTTGAATCCCTCTGCCATTTTTCTTGCCGTTATGAAATTATCCATAAAACCTTGTTCCATCACTCTTAATTTCTTAGGCTTCTCCTTCCAACTGATTATTGATCCAAATTCCTAAAAATAAGAATTTATTCTACCTTTAACTATTTTTTTTTCCGATTTAAACATACCAAAACCATTTGTGCGGCCATTTTAGAACTGAGCTTCAAAACTTTATTATTTACATATATTATACATATCTCCATTCCTATAATGCATAGTACAAACTCCTTGAAGCAAATCGTTTTACCATGTCCTATTATAATATATAAATTGTATGTTACCCAATTAATAAATTTCCAGCCTATGGCCAAACTTAAATACCAATTCCAACTTTTAGTCCTAACTCCAATGTGCCAAAGTATACACTGTCATCATTTTATTTTGAAATCTAAAAGTCTGAGTTAGGTTTGAAATTTTCTAATTTTTATTTAATGTGTGCTGGAAGAGTCCCTACAAATTCTAATAATCGAGAATCTAAAGCTGGACTACTTTGTTTGGAATTGTCATCATCAGCTAATCATAGGTGAATAGATTTGATACTTTCGCTCAATGAGATAGATGCAAACTTATGAATGAAAAATTCTTATGATATCTATTAATTCATATATATTTAATTATTGAGATATAATGATTAATGGAAATTTTTAAACATACTCTTAAATTAATTTAATTAAAATCAGAATACTAAGGAAATGTCACTTTAAAGAGTTTTTGAGAAATTACTATACTGGGATGTGTACTTATCAGCAATTATTCATGGCCATGAAAGTTTAATGTTAACAGTGATGCTATTTTTACCAGCATTGATTTTTTCACCAACTACTATTGCTGCACCTATTTTCTTCATTACTTATTAATACGGTTATGCTTATTCAATAAGATATGTGATTTCAATAGTACTGTCATTAGTTTTGACTACTTTCTTTAAAAAACATTTCAAAAGACCAAGACCTAAGCCTCGTCCACAATTATCACTTAAACCTATGTATTTTAGGAATAAAGAAACTAATTATTCCTTACCTAGTGGAGATTGTGCTTAAGCTGCAACCTTTCTCTTTTACTTTCTAAATGCTTATGGAAATGGTATTTTAGATATTTAATAAATTAGGAGACATAGTTGTTATTTTAATTGCAATACTTATGACTCTTAATGTAATGTTAGGTAGAGTATATTTCTGTTGCCACTACTTTAGTGATTGTCATCTTGGCTTTGGAATTGGAGTTACTAGTGCCTTCTTGATTAACTTTTTATTATAATGAAATGGGTGTGTATTGTATACAAGAATATTCAATTAATATTATATATATGAATATAGTTGAGTACAGAAAGCATCAGAATGAAAACTAAATCAGAACTTGCTGTTGCAAAAGAAGAGCTCCTTGGGAATTACAACCAGACAGAAAAGTATAATAGGTATTTAAATTCTTAGATTCTGATTGGTACCGCAGATAAAAATATTCCCAATAATAGAGTAGAGACTTCTAAGTATAATATGCTCACATTCTTACCCAAAAACTCATTAGAATAATTTAGGAAAGCATCTAATTTGTACTTTTTGCTTTTAGGCATTTTGTAATCAGTTTGAATTTAATTTAGTTAAATCCTACCTCCAGTCACAACTACTGATGGACAACCAACTGTTTATTTACCCCTTTCATTCATTATTATGGTCAGCATGATCAAGGATTTTTTTGAAGACTTTAAAAGGTACCTCAATCATCACCATTAGACACCGAGCAGATGATGAAGAAAACAATCGAACTGTATAGAAATATTCACTTCGAACAGGAGTTTTCGAATATGACAAATGGTAAAATGTTTATGTAGGAGACATTATAAGGATTGCAAATAAATAGGTATGATTTTAACTTAAGAGTAGAGAATTCCTGCTGATATTATTATATTAGCAACTTCGAAAGGAGGAGAATGTTTTGTAGAAACTAAGAATCTAGATGGTGAAACTAATCTCAAACCTAAATATGCACATCCATAATTGCAAACATTATACAGATAATTAAATGAAAAAGAGTTACCTTATAATTTGTAATTTTGCAATAAAATATCTTAGATTTGTAACTATGGATTTTGAAAGATAAAATCCTCTTATGTATAAATTTAAGGGAAGTTTCAATATTGTTAATGAAAATAAAGAATTACCAAAGGAACCATTAAATTATGAAAATTTTTTAGAAAGAGGATGTTCTCTTTAAAATACTGATTGGATTTTAGCAGTTACTGTATATACAGGTCATGATACTAAGATAATGATGAATTCTATTATAGGAAAGATGAAATATAGTACAGTTGAGAAATTGATGAGCAAGTAAATTTTATGGGTATTCTTATTTTTGTTGTTTGAATGTATATTTGCATCAACATATTATAATGTATGGTACTAAAGAAATGTGAATGAATTACAATCTTATTTGAATATTGATTAAAATGCTCCAGAGAATAATTCCTTTTACAATTTTATATTAAGATTTGCAATGTGGTTTTTATTATTAGGTAATAGTGTTCCAATTTCATTATTGGTTACATTAGAAACAGTTAAATTCTTTTAAGCTTAAATGATATAATGGGATAAGAATTATTTAACATTTGATCGACCAGCAGCTGTTCATTCCTCAAATTTAAGTGAAGAATTAGGAGTTATTGAATATATATTTAGTGATAAAACAGGAACATTGACATAAAACATAATGAAATTTAAATCTATTATAATTGATGATATTGTTTATGGAGATATAGAGGAATAACCTTAATAAGAAATAATAGATGAGAAACCTTTTAAGGAAAAATAGAGAATTGTATCATAAAATGTAGATTTTACAGATGACACCCTATATTCTGAATTAGTATCTGAATTCATGAATAAAAAATCTGCTAAGAATTTCTCAAATAATGATCATGTATTCTTAACTCTCCTATGCTTATCTTTATGTCATACTATATAAACAGAATTAGTTGAAAATATTGAATCAGAAATTTAATATAATGCAAGTTCTCCAGATGAATTAGCATTGGTAAGTTTTGCAGCAGAGATGGGATTTAAATATATTGGTAAAGAAGACAATGTAATGAAGGTTTACATTAAACATAGTAAAGAAACCTTAAAGTTTCAAAT